GATACAGATCCGGATTGATTGATAGACGTAACGTCATTTTTTGTTAAGAATTGCATAGAGCTTCGAATAGTCAAGATCCAATATAAATTTGTTCTTATTTTCTTTCACATATTCCAATTTCACTGGTGCAACACATCGAGCAAATATTTATGAATGTATTGTTCATTGACTTTGTTCGTTTCAATTTAGCAGCAATTAATTTGCGACTTGGGAATGCGTATACTCCTGGCCTATTTTAAATAAGTATTGACTTGTAAAAAAGTGACATGAGGACAGTATTAAGGGCAAAAAAGTTTCTTGTCTATTATTCGCGTAGAATTCATATCCAGCATGAAGATTTCGTTTCGAACTTTCATATCAGTCACTGAGAATGTTTGTTAATATTATATAGTATTAACAAACATATAGTATATAATATATAATATTATATAATATACATATTATGCCTGCAACAATATGGGTCAAAATGTATTTGACGATTATTTTTTTTTAATTTAACAACGGTTTTTCTGTCTGGTGGTTACTGACTTGAGTAGCTTCTAGACAGAACTGACTATGCATGGTGAACTAGGCCGAAAAATGCATGGATTGTGAAATATAGAAATTCGACATGCCTACACCCCCGGACTACAAAATTTATGCTAGAGCTTCTCTCTTGGTGTCATATTTTACCTCGCCCAAGGCTTCAGAAAAAATATCATTTCTGCAGTGGGGCTGATGGCGACTTTTTTCAAGGAAATGATCCTCAGGGAAGACGGCTCTCAACTTCTGCCCATTCGAGCCATAAGCAAGTTTTTGCAGCAGCTCTGCTTTCCACCCCAGCACATTTTTATCATGTCTAAAAAATTTGTTCTTCATATTTTTAGTTTTTTTTTTACTTTTTTAAGAGTTCTTTATCTCTCGGGACTTCAGGTGGCAACTTTAGATATGTTATTTTCAATTATACACGCACTTACGATTTCTATATTTTCCTAGTCAATCTAGACACAAAATATCTGTATGTTAAATTACATATTTTCAATTTGGATAATTTTTTTTGCAAATTCAAACTTATTTTAATACAAAATTTTTTCTAAATTCGACCAAGAAACATCGTCTAAATCCGTTACATTTCTTTGATTAAGGTTAATTCTTGAATAATATCACTCGTTTTAGAGGCTAGGTCAGTACAGAATTACTGTACTATGTCCTGAGGCCTGTATTGTACAAGTAGAACGAAAAAAGCTCACCATGAAGAAATTAAATTTTCTTGGCATTTATTACTGTAAAAATAATGTAAATAATGTGAATTTAAATATGGTTTCACAGCTTTAGTACAATATTCTGAAGCACACTTACAGTGTCTTCAATATAAATCAGGATTTAAGAGTGAGTTAAAATATTGAGTACAGTGAATAGATGGTATACGAATCTTTGCATGTATTAAACAGTCGCTTGAAGTTTTTTTTTCTCTTGAATAAACGTACTATGTAGGCCGCATTTTGTTAGTTGGCTATGTTTCTTAATTCCTCAAAACCAAGGCCTACTATTCATTATTTATTGTAATTGAATCATGCTATGCTATTAAATCCTTTCGATAAGTATTCTTGACATGACGAGGTGACCTGCAGTTGAAACTGTTACTAAAAACGACATTCCCTCCGACGACCTGCGCGTCGAGCCTATGCATGGCAGGACAATCTTTGCAGAGTAATCATTACAAGGCAATCATTGTAGAACAATCATTGCACGGCAATCATTGCCTGAAAATCAATGCAGGTAACCCAATGCTGAGCAATCGATGCTCCGCGATCTATGCATCGCATTCGTTGCTCCGCAATCTATGCATCGCAATCAAGGCATCGAAATCAATTTATCGCGACCAATGCAGCGCAATAACTGCTGCGCAATCTATGCAGGGCAATCTAAGCAGCGCAATCAGTGCAGAAAAAGGACTGAAGTGCAATAATTGCTGTACAATTATTGCAGCGGCGTTAATGTACTTGAATCTAAATCTGAGGAATTAAATCAAAACAGTGCAATCAATGCTTTGCAATCGTTCTGTGCAATCCCTACAGCACCAATCGATACTGCACAATGTTTGCATCCTAATGATAGACTGCATTCTAGTCAATCATTCTATGGCAATCATTTCAAGGCAATCATACTGTGACAATAAGTTCAGAGCAATCATTGCATAGCTTTCGATCCAGTTGATTGTGGTTGGCTGAGTGACCACCAATAGATCGGCTTCAATCCATAATTTGAACTTGCGAGGATCTGACTTAACATCTTCAAACAGCCCTTCTTTTCTCTCATGCGTATAGGACGGAGCGTTCATCAACCTTTCTTCCTCCGGCAGTCTTGATTAAAAAACTAATTAGACTTTGATCACCGAATTTGTCGGCCAAGTTATTTAGCCAAGCGACAAATTTATGCCCGACGATGAGGGATGTTTTCACATGAATATAAATTAGGATTTATCCCTAAATCTCTTATGCAAGGTGAGAGCATCGCAGCAACTCTCTAAATTTTCCAGTTTTTCCCTCCCGCAAAAATGAGTTGAGGCGAAAGGTATGCAATAAATATAAATATTTTTCGTTGAGTTGAGGCTACAAGTTTTCGTTTTTTTTCTTAAATCATAAAGTTCCGATTATCTCTCTTGATACTTAATAATTATTTACAATAGGGATGATTTTTTCTGATAATAATAGGGAAAAATAATTATTTCAGAAAATCATGTAAAAGTATTAGCTATACTTGATTAGCTGAGTTGCAAAGACATATTTTAGCGGGATTGTTATTATTGTCGTATTGATGAAATAACAGGTAGAGCAATTACTTATCGTTATCCATATCGATAATTCATTCAATTGTCATTTCGTGATTGGTACCAAAAATGCCCATAAAGCACCAAAAACATTTTTAATTGAATCCATTTCAACTGATCGAATATCATTAGAATCTAATCTTTAAAATTGTGTGTATTTAAATTGAGTAAACTTGCCTCAACCTATATCAATTTGGCGAAGGTAAGATTATTGATAAATTTCGAAATATTCCAAAATTCTCATCAATCAATATTTATGTGATGACAATTGTTGGACTTGACCAGACATAGTCTATAAGACGAACGTTTCAGTTGACCACACCGCCTTATAAGTAAATTTCTTCAAATTAGTTAACTAGAATATCTCTAAATTCTTCCAATCCGTTTGATTTGTACTGGAGAAAACTGGTCGCTGTTTTGCTTGTTGGCCGCGGGACAAGTGCATTATACGAGAATTAAGCCTGGAGGGATTTTCTAGGCCAAATAATTGAAGGAGACTTGCACAAGTGGTTAAACGAAACGACTTAGATAAATATGATTATTTTCAGTCGGAGATCTTTTCAAGTCTTTTCAAGCTTTCCATCTTCAATGTACAGGATGCAATCACCGAACATTATATTAAATACAACTGACCGGTCGTGATAACCATTGAACTATTGAGAAACGTCGCATGTCACTTCATGGAAGTTACAAGCAAACGATGGCCTCCGAGTTACCGTCCGGAAGCCAGACGCACTGCAGTGTCACGACGTGTCATTGTTCCGTTCTCTTGCACGCTCAACTGACATGCAAGCCCACCGATGAGGAACTATAGTGAACGAAATATTGAGACAAAAAGCCATCGTGTTTTCTAACCCTAGATCGTTTTTTTGGACACTCGTTTGCGTTTTCAGGCACTTGATATTATTTTCAGGCACCAGATCATCTTTACAGACATTGGATTTTTAATACATTTAAGATTTTAAAAAATTAGAAAATTTAACTATACCTGCAATTCGCGATTAACTCGCGATTTAGGCAATTAATAAAATTAATGAAATAGAATGTGTTCATGCCAATCGCGCTAATATTTAAGTCTGTTTTCACACATAATGGGGTTGATATTTTAATTTTCAGCTCAATCAGGCCGTTTCAACTTTTTTATTTTTTTTTATTTGAAATAATTGAAATTGCTAGCCCTATTTGATGCAAACCACGTCCTTATTTTTACCAAGTAAATTTTTCAGTTTATGTCTCACGCGGACCTGAAATCTGGCTCATCTTTGCCGGAGGTCCGGGCTTCTATTTCTATTTGATTTTCCTACTATCCATGTGGCAATTTTATTAACATTATTAAAGTCTTTGACTACAATTTCATCATTATTTATGTATCATGAAGCTCCTCTGAAAAAATTGTGATTATTTCCATTTTAAAATTTAATGTTCTTAGAAATTTCCGTTCATTTTAAAATTCGCCGTACGAATTCGACCGATGCGTATCTAGAATGCACAAATCTATGTAAAGATTGCAATAAGAATTATCATTCGTGTATTCTCTACGTACTATTCTATAGATTTCATCATATTTTATTTTCTACGTTATCACCTGAAAATATTTCAGCTGATGCACACTGAACTGAAATTCAGAAACAAAAAATAATGGATGTAATGGATTTTAAAATAATCGGATTTAATCTGATTTATTTAAGTTCGGACATTAGCGTTAGAAACAACGTCGAGCGTAGCCTCGCAATTAATTAGGCATTAGAATCAGTATATTTAGGTTAATTGAATTTCTTTATTCAGATTTTGAGATATCAACTTGAGTCTTTTAATTTATATTTCTCTTGAGTTTATGCTTCTTTCTGTGGATCATCAATTGTCCGGCCGACATTTTCTCGATACTTTTGTGATTCATCGAATTCGTGTGCACTTTCACTTTAATGCTTACATGGTTGCGTACATTGCTTAGTTAGCGTGTCAATCGAGGCTAAATAAAAATGGATAATTTGTACACAATTTTTATACAATTTAGTTTTCAGAGTTAAGGCAATTATTTAATAGCAGTCAATTCTAGAAAAGTCAATTAATTTATTATTCTTGAAGATTTTTTTTCCTGATCTCAAGCCAAGCTCCGCAACTGGCTGGCCACGGTCATAATTTTAAACTTGAAATGTTCGAGTTATTTCCCAAGGTATTGACACAAATAGCATAATAATTAATTATTTATTCCAAGAAGCCACCAGCAATATAGATGTACTATATAGATTTATTTTAACTATGCTAGATAGAAATAGGTGTCTTTTACACATCACAAGTAAAATGCGTCATTTAAATATATTTTTACAGCAATGGAGTCGCGCAGTCACCGTCAGCAGGCTGGGTTCACACGAGGATCGCGCTCAAATTCCATAGAAATAATAACATTATAAATTTACGATTTTCACACGTTACCGTTAGGAAAGAGTCCATACATATTCGCCAATTTCAGTTTCATTATTTATTGGCAGTAAGCGATCATGACGGACAAATTACAGCGAAAAAATATTCTGATGAAATCATGGATCAATTTTTACTTTACTACTGACGTATGTTTGTTGTCGTTACTAGGACTTTAAAATTGACGAGGTTAGAGTATCCTTGTATAAAAGGCCAGACAACAGCGTTCCTTACGAACATTATGACGAAAAAAAACATTTATGTAATTACTGTCGACTTTTGTAACAAAAAATATCGCTCATTATCATGAAACTTTTTTTCATCGGCGTATTTCGCTTCATAAAATCGCTTACGCGTTCGACATGAGGAGCTTGATCGCGGTAAACGTATGAACCATAGAGCCTGCAGGGCGGGCGCTGGGACGCTGAAGCTGAACTCTAACTCACGCTGAACTCTCTAACATGTTAAATTTAATGTCCTGAATATTTTTCATCAAGCGAAAGCCAAACCAAGCAACTTGTATACATCTAAAATAAGTAAACAAGTTATCAATACAAAATACCAAATTTAAAAAGCTAAAAGTCATTCTAGTAAAAGTGATGTGGTTAAATTTTTGTAAGAAAAATCTTGATTTTCCGTTATATAAAAATTCCGAATGATCGAAGCAAGAAACTAGATAAAGAATGAACGGTAAAGTAAGAGATCAGTTTCAGCTTATCCCTGCAGACTAACGCTTAACTTCACGATCGGTCGTTGTATGCGATAAACGTTATTTTATTCATTAACGTCGATTTATAACGATAAACGTTATTTAAGTATCGTTTTCGATACTGATGGGGGTAAATGGTACACAAATATACACGTGATGCAGAACCATCTAGCGAAAATAGTGTTATTATTATAATTATTATTCACATGTTACATACTATGATCATCGATGTGAAGATTACTATTTATGTGATAACCGACTAAATTTTTATTGAAAGATGTGCTATATTCTTAGTGAAATCATATACGAGGCACCGAAAATGTTTACACGAAAGATCATGTAGATACATGATATTCCTGATAACACAGACATTGGGCTGGCAAAAACTCAGTAGGTACAGAATTTGAAAGATATCATTGAATCTGTCGTTGCGATTTCGGCTGAAAAAATAAACTTGCAGAGGGAAATTGTGGTAGCGATTCATGCGTATATGAAATGCAGGTATTCATAATTCGCTTATTTGCTGAATAATAAAACGTTAGATCCATAAATCATATATAATGATCCCACTTATGAGTTTATTTTCTGTGTACTTGCATTAATAATCTACTATGTTAATATTACAGTGAGTAAATTATTTTTTCTTTGATATCACGTATATATAGTAGCGTAATTATATATACGCATATATAATTGCAATAAACAAGCGGAGATCCCGAATTCCGACGTAGCATAAAAGATAGACAATAGAAATGGGAGAAGAAATATGCGGAATTTAAATTCTTCAAAACGATTTGTAAAGTATTTTGCTGTTTAACTGCGCATGGCAAAACAAACGACAACGAAAAGAGACCAAAATTGCAGTTCGCAGTTGCCATTTTAATAAGGGTTGCAAATGGCTGTTCCATGTGATATTTAAGGTCAAAAGAGGGGAGTGACGAGCTGGGGCAGAGGGTATATTTCGTAGGATGGGTTCGATATAAAGGTTACAGATGGCTCGGTGAGGACGTGTAGTTCTAACTTTAGATCATTTCACAAAAATTACACTCGATAGGACGGACAATGGAAACGAAAAGTTACGTCCAAAGTTGACTTGATCATTTCAAGAATGGTCATTATGTTTTTCTTCATTATTTTTGTATTAAATAACTTCCTACTGAAGATCCATAATGTGAGAAAAAATTTCTCGCTCCCAGGAAAGTATGAGATCACAGACGTTCTCAATAAAGCGAATAGATGTGAACACGAATTCAAACTGTTATTTCAAAAGTTTATTATAATATTATTGACTTTCATGTATAATTTTGAAGAAATTCCGAACAAGGATTCAATATTAGAAAATTAAATTACCCGAGTTCCACGGGAATTGTAAAACTCAACACACTTAGCACACCGGATCAGCAAAGATGGCTTCAGTCCCTTTACTTAACTCTTAATTTTGATTGCAATTATTTTATTTGTAATAATTAAGAAACTGACTGATTGTAGTTATTAACATTAGGTCTGTTACAGTTACATGTTCTTTGTTCATGCCATGGCACATCTACTCCGCTATGAGTAGATTTAGAGGGTAGTACGTTAAGCAAACATATTATGGTGTTACGGTGCCTCGTATGTACAAGTACATTACCTATGAGTAAAACAATGTACATTTATTAGTTATACAGCATCGAACACTGAGGCTACTTAATAAATCTATTTTTGAAAATGACCTATGTTGCTACTAACAATTAGCTGCAATAAATCCCAGAAATTGGGGTGAATTGTATCTTATTTTGGGAAAATCGGTGCGAACAAAGTTTTAGTAGACGTATTAAAAATGTGGGAGACTACATCGAAAAAGGAAAAAAATTAGGAGGATGGGGACATGGGATTCCGTCTCGGCATCCCATGTCGAGACGGAAACCAATTAAATTATGTAATTTCGGAACGTTCAACCAAAAAGATATACAAAGTAAATGTTTATATGAGATAGACTGACAAAAAGCTTCATCGTCATTGGCGTTGGTGAGGAACGCATCGTCTTGTAACTGCTGGATAATTATACTCAAATACAAGAGCCTTCCGAAACTGCCGTCCATTTAGAAATCAGGCAAGATAAAATTTGTAAGCAACGAATGAAACGTTCGAAATTATCAGTCTGCATAGATTATTATGCATTCAGTTTTAAATTCTTAATTTGACAAAATATAATTCGTTGCTGGGAATCGTATGTTTATCGTAACCCCCAAAAAATATGTATGCACTAATAAATTTTCAGTTTTAGAAAATTAAGCTGAAGACTTCTACCATAGCAGGCCTGCAGTTTTAAAATTATATTTTTTGTCGAATTTTCGGGTTGCTAAAATGTACGTGAATCTAACAACAAATTCATATACCCCATTGTTTCCCTTCAGTTACATTGAAAAGAAAAACTTGTGATACATAGCTGTATATAAATTATTTCAGACATAAAATTACAAGATAAATCATTGAAAGAATTTACATTGCCAATAAAATGTTAATTAACAACGCAGCACATGCGCGGCAAAATATATACACGTACAACTTGAGCAATATTAGAACCGTAACATTCCTTATATGAACGCAACATCAATTATGGTACAGAACGTGGCGTCTATCTGCCGTCCTAATCTGCAGTATCAAAGCGAGTTGAGATTTCTAATCTTTCGATCAACGAGGAACCGCCTCTTAATTACAACAAACTAAGACAAATATCACAACACTGTTATTCTCGCTCCTTTGTAAAAGGAGCCAAGAAACATCCATATTATAAAGTAACTATTTACACTTTACACATAAAGAGCGACAACAAGAGACCGCCAAATCACCGTACGCTTGAGCCAATGACGTACTTCTAGCATTGCAATTTTTTAGGTGACAAATTTCGATTCATTGTTGGAGTTTTTTGTAGCGAGCAAGGCCTGGTTACTGGAAATTTTTAATCTAATATGAAATTTATCTCTATTTCGCTGTTGATTATAAACGTATAACATAATAATTTGATTTACGAAATTCCTAATCCGTCATAATATTGATCGTATTGAGTAAAATTAGCATGTTGTGAAAAACATCTTCTCGCTTATAACCTAGAATACGAAACAAAACATGGCACTAGTTTTTGAATAGCGGATATCTATAATGGTGAGGATGAACAACTTGAGAAATAAATAAATTGAAATTATAAGTTAGTTTTGTAAAAGACGTTATAGTTTCAGCAAATATGAGTATGGAGAAGAATACAATATAGAAAGCACTTAACGTATCCGCGTTAACGTCATGCCTCAGGGTAAGAATTTTCATTGATATTGATCAATTTTCCGACAAAAACAAAATTTCGAGCGAAGTTTGTTTGGAAAATGTACAGTTCACATGAATGAACCTTAATGAAAATAAAGTGGTGGTGAACTTTTGGTTTTGATTCATCGAAAGGGTTTTACATTATTTGTCCATTGCCTTCAGAGTGAACGAGTGAACAGAACTTCTAGGCTGCGAGAGTTCACGAAGAGACTGAGAACACCATAAAAATAACATGTTTTTACATATGGCATCACGTATGACCAAACGACATGGCTATGCATATGTTAATAAAAATTCTGGCTTTGGGACTTGTGAGACACTGGACTACGATAAATCGATTCCTGAAATTTCTATACGAAACCAATTTTTCTGCATCCACATTTCTCAAAACACTTTAAAGTACAAAAATATATGCAAAACCTCTATTATTAATAATTTTTCTAGAACACAGAATTAATTTCCACGGAGGACAACTTTACAGCAATAATATTGAGGAAACTAGACCACTTTAAACAACTAAGATGAACAAGTTTATTTATCACAATTTATCCTTGTTGACAATTTATGATAACTTATATATGACAATTTATTGTTGCCAATGAGCACCTGTCCTAACTTGCTCGTTGCATTGTTCTGCCTTGCGTGGACGATTGCGTTGGGAATATTTCATGTTTTGGAATGAGCGTAATGCATGTTCTTGCGTACCCAACCGTAGGTGAATTACGCGAGTAATTATTGAGCTGACTTTGAGTGCTAATATCACACGTACAGCACGTCGTAGAGTACATGTGCAGCATGAGCAGCATGGCAATGCTGTAGATCCAAGCGAAGTTTCCGGTCATGGGGGAGAGGGCACTTTTGCCCGCAGACGCGATGCTCGATGCTTCTCTGCACGGGCCTGGGCAAAATATAATGGGACAATTATTATAATATAATAATAATATAATATATAATCAATAATTTAAGTGACCTTTGCTTGTTTACTTTAGCCATAGAATCAATGAGGATGATATTAAATGCGATTTTGCCACAATAATTGTGATCAAACCATACTTCCAAAGGCATTACTCGTTCTAATCGAAATATATCATTATGCCATATATTGTGAGAACTAATTAACAAATGTTAAAAGTTATAATAACGATAATGTAATTGAATAGTGAATAAACGCTGCAACTTTTACAACTAGATTCTTGACTATCAAAAATATTTGTAAACAAATATACTAAATCTTTTTACTACAAGTTGAATGTAGCGTGGAATATACGTTGCAAGCCTGTACATCTGAAGACTTTGCAAGTATTAATATGAATTAATTTCACTTCACTAATGAGCGAAAAACAACGTGATGTGGTCGTTCGATAAAAAAATATAACTCAGTACTCACAGCAGTGAGTGACAGAGAGCGCATTTTCTCGTCGATGAAAACGTGAAGTCACGGACGCAGAAGACAGACAGACGGACGGACGGACATGGCGAGCACAATAGCGCATTTTTTCCATGAATGAGAAAGAAAATGCGCTAAAATGGCCACATATTTATTTATCTATTCATTATGCCCCTGAGCATCAACTATTACACTGACCGGTGAGGGTGGCATTGAGGGTAATATGTGCGTTGCTGGTATCAGGGCTGCAGGTGTCGTGTCTGGCGGTGAGCGTGGCCCGGGGTGGGGGCCGCCCCCCTGTCGCCCCCTCGCTGGGGTCGCGGCCCAGGACGCTGTAGGCGAAACACACTCGCCGCGGGGCACCGGACGGACGAGACGAGGGCGACGCTACCACGTACGTCACCCCGTCACTGTCCCAACGCCCGTGACATTGGTAGCCTGGAGGTAAGAACCAGCGATTCTTGAGTTTGATGAGAGAATAATTGCATGGATTATTTAAAAATATATATCCCACGTTTATATGACCAGGTATTTAAAAGCAAAGAAAATACCACAAAAATTCACCATATCTTTATAAGAGAAAACGTTTCGGAGTCCAGCTCCATCGTCAGTTCATAACACAAAATTTTGTTCAGAAAAAGTTCAGCCCTCGAAACAGAAATAAATCAATTAGTAAAGTAAAATGCACTGTCAGGTTTCAAAACGGAAAATAAATAAATAAGACATGAAATTAACGCTAGTAAACGGCCTATCTATTTACTATTTCAAGAGGAAAGGAAATCGTAAATAGATAGGCCGTTTACTAGCGTTAATTTCATGTCTTATTTATTTATTTTCAGTTTTGAAACCTGCCAGTGCATTTTACTTTACTAATTGATTGTATTTGTGTTTCTAGGACTAAACTTTTTCTGAACAGAATTTTGTGTTATGAACTGACGATGGAGCTGGACTCCGAAACGTTTTCTCTTATAAAGATATGGTGAATTTTTGTGGTATTTTCTTTGCTTTTAATTTCCTGGTTAACTTGCGATTCAAGCAAACAAGTGATTTTAATACATTTATATGATTATGATAAAGTGGCAGCGAAAGTGCACATATGTTCAATTCAAAAGTACATCCATCAGCTAAGGACACTTTTGTACTTCAAACTAATAACTGATCTAAACTAATTGTACGTATTGTTTATTATTGCTACCTTCATATTAAAAAGTGACAATCGTGAGACGGAATTGGCTGACGAGAAAGACCGACTAATCCTCCCTTGACGATACAGACTGGTCCTCAAGAAACGTGACAGACAGACAGACAGACTGACTGTCCGAAAACGAGATTGACTGACTAACCGTGGGAAGACGTGACTGATTGTTTCTCCGGTCACGGAGAATCCGTTTCTCCGGTCACATATCCTCCGGATATGTGACAGACAGATTGACTGACTAAATCTGGGAAAATGAGACTGACTGCCACTCCGGAGATGAGACATGGCTGTCCGGTCACTAGAAAGCCCGAAGATGTGAGATTGTATTATCCTCCGATGACTAAATAGACTGCCTCTCCGGTTACGAGACAGACTGGTCCTCCGAAGACGTGACAGACTGACTAATCCTCAGGAGAAGAGACAGATTAAGTGACCTTCCGCAGATGAGTAAGAAAGACTGAGTGATCCTCCGGAGACGAGACAGACAAGCTAAATGACTCACTGAAGACGAGACAGACAGACTGAGTGTACATATGTATGTACACAGAGTGTACGAGACAGACAGACAGACTGAGTGTACATATGACAGACTGAGTAACCCAACGAGACAGACCCACTGACCCTCCGGAGAAGAAACACTGACTGACTCTCCGGAGAAGAAACAGACTGACTGACTTTCCGGAGAAGAAACACTGACTGACTCTCCGGAGAAGAAACAGACTGACTGACTTTCCGGAGAAGAAACAGACTGAGCGACTATCCGGAGACGAGACAGACGGCTGGACCTTCCGTATATTGACTGAGTGACCTACCGGAAACGCGACAGACTGAGTGACCTTCCGGAGGACGAGACAGACTGACTGATTGACGCTCCGGAGGCGAGTGGCCTGCCGGAGACGAGATAGACTGACTAAGTGACGATCCGGTGACGAGACAGATTAACCGACCCTCCGGAGATGAGACAGGCTGACTAACTTTCCGGAGACGAGACAGACCGAGTGCCCTTCCGGAGACGAGAAAGACTGAGTGACCTTCCGGAGACACTCCGGAACTGACTATCTGAAACATGACTGACTTATGACCCTCCGGAGAAAAGATACACACTCCGGAAATAAGACAGACTGACCATTCAGAGACGATACTGATTGACAAGACCGAAATTGTGATTCTTTGAGGACGAGATTGACATAATAACTCACCGTGGACGGGAGCGACAGACTGATGTTCTGGAGTGAAACTGACTGACAATCCCGAAAAATTGACCTTCCAGGTAAAAGGACAGCCTCAAAGATGACATTTTAAATAGCCTTCGACTGTGAATAATCAATTAGTCAACCTCGTCTCTGGATAGTCATTCGCTTTAGTCTCGTTTCCAGAGAGTTTATTTGTCTCGTCTCGTCTCTTCTCTGGACGGTCAATCGGTCTCTCTCAACTCTGGACATTTAGTGTGACTCATGTCTGAAGGGGTTATGGACCCCAACACAGCCCACATCAGTCTGGTCCCTGGAGGGTCAGTCAGAATTATACCAATCATTCCGTCCGATGCTCAGTCAATTTCGTCTCCACAGGATGACGAAAATAATAGTCTGGCTGTCCTACCATTGGATGACCAGACAAAGTGATTGACTGAACTACTGGAAGATACCAACACTGACAGATACACCTTTCGAAAGATAACCGGTCCCCCGACAGCCCGTACACGAGGCTGATTGTTAATTATCGAGGCGTGGATGATAATTAATTATATAGTAATATATATAGTAATTAATTATAGTAACTGTTTGAATTTTCAAACAGCCATTGAAACTGTTTTACACAACTCCTGTTACTCACGTGTGACATCATTGATGGGGCAGCTGGTCTCCAGCTCGAGCGTATCATCCGCAGTGCAGCCGACGTTGAGGCGGGAGTACTCAGGCATGTTGTTCGCGGTGCAGTCGCGGTCGTGCCCGTACGGGTAAGACCCGTAACCCTGACGGGTCGGGTCTTGCGAGACTACGTAACGTCCCACGGGCCCACACGATATACTTTGGTCTCCGCGGGCCACGAGAGTTGTTAGACTTGTTGAGCCTTAAAGAATGTGGACCAATTATAATATTAGGAGTTATTTCATTAGTCCGCAAATTAATTAACCGCTTTATGACAGAAAAATGTTACAACGTTATGATCGAACTGAGTTAAGATTCTATGTATGTACCTATGTGATACAACATGGCTTTAAATAAAATTTATCGATGTTGCTATAGACAAATTCAATTCCATCTTTATTAAAATACTGTGGGATGAATAGACAACTGGCAGTGATCAATGGTGCTAAAAATTTTGCATACAACACTCATTAATTACATATTTTCAAATCATCCTAACTTATCATGACATTATTCATTACGATAACTATTGCATATAAAATATTCTCTACACCCACCAGGGTTCCAGTAGTGATGGGTGCAGGCTTCCTCCGCCCTGTACGCTAGCTCCCCCGTCTCCACCTGCACCACGTGATCCACGCGCCGGTGCAGCCTCATGCACCAGTAGCCAGATCGGCTATGGTAAAACAAAAAAATCTTTATACTCCTCGCAAATTTAAGTGTTTTTTAGTAGTACTACTTATAATTTTCTGTAGGTTATATTACCCGGAGTGAAATTTGGTACGCGGCTGAATAACAACACGCAAACTGTCGACGGTATTTAATTTTGACTAGAAGAGCTTCGCCTTTGAGTATCTTGTTCACTATCCATCTTGTTCTTTTGCATTATATGATAAGAATATTATTATTCTATTAAAGTCCAAATGTGTTCTGTAATTTATTTACGCGCACATTGTATACAAAATTTTAGACACAGTTTCATTGATCCGCATTCTATCACAATTGAATCGAATTAAATATAATCGAGAAAGACCAAATATAATGATAAATCATGCAAGTTAGTTCCACTGATTGTGCAACACATTTAAAAATTGGGTAAAAAATACATAATAATAATACATAACATTACATAATGCATAAAATAATAATTAAACAAACATGTCACATTAAATTGAAGTGAACTCCTCACCATCCCACTGTGACGTGGACAACAAGAGTAGCGCTTCGTTTATTGCGTCGCCCGCTCTTCTTATGGTGAAGAGCTTCAGCTTCCCTGGCCTCTGGTTGATCTTCAGTAGTTGGACCTTCCCCGTCGGTTGAGACCGAATTACCCTCATAAGGGGACCACTGCCCCCCACTCTCTGTAACCGGGCCCCAGTCCCCGGAAATACTTCGGGTCTCAGGAGCCGTCTTGCCGTCGGTGTTCTCGAGGCGGTTGGTCAGATGCTCACGGCGATGGACGTCGCGGTTGCGGTGCTCGTCTTGGTACTCGTGACATACAAGTCGCAGGTCTGTATGACTTCGTACCTATAGAAAATAAAGTTTACATAAATTAAATACAAAAAATGTTAAAAAACTAACCATGACGCTGAGGCTCCGCGGACCTTTGGCCATGCGTTTTTCTTCAAAACATATTGCAACTATTACTACTATTCAAAATCAACGCTCACAAAACGGTAATTTTCATCGTTTATAAGTGTCATTTTGTGTACTGATTTCTTGTATGCCCAGAAGCGTTCAAGTATTCGGATCAAATGAATGGAAACCACTTATATAATTCAATTTTCTTCCATAAGGAATAACACATCAAGAGAGAAACTAACGATTGTGTTTTGAATGTCTGTCAATTAATTAGAGAATAAAGAGTGTTTAAGCTGCATCAAAAGCCGCTCCTTTTACATATCTGTCAAGTACAGAACATCTCCAGCTCGTTTAATGGAACTAAAAGCCATGTTGTTGCTAAAAGCTAAGCACAACGAATGGCTGGCTATAAAAGGCAGCCCAAGTGATGAGCCGTACGCGTTTGAGCGAGTTATTAAAACTGCTCAGTGTTTTATAATTACCTATATTTATATTTTTATGTATATTAATATATTCATTATACATAGAAACGAGACCCATAATTTAAATGAAATTAATGAAAACAACTCGTGGGAGTCTCGGTTGCCAAGTATTAATAGTGGAAGAATATAAGTATGGGTTTCGAAGTTTTCAGAAATTTTCATATTTTTATGAGCATTGGTCTGAAGGATCTTCACACAGCCCACCTCGGGGTCTGAGGGACCTTCACACAGCCCACCTCGGGGTCTGAAGGACCCCCACACAGCCGACCTCGGGGTCTGAAGGACCCCCACACAGCCAACCTCGGGGTCTGAAGGACCCCCACACAGCCCACCTCGGGGTCTGAAGGATCCCCACACAGCCCACCTCGGGGTCTGAGGGACCACCACACAGCCCACCTCGGGGTCTGAAGGACCCCCACACAACCCACCTCGGGGTCTGAAGGACCCCCCACACAACCCACCTCGGGGTCTGAAGGACCCCCACACAACCCACCTCGGGGTCTGAAGGAGCGGCCGTGCCGTTGCTGATCCTAAGCGACGTGTTGTGGTGCAGAACAAAGTAACTCTGACCGAAGTCTAGCGTGTGCCAGTGAGGGTGAGCGGTCAACCACGAGGGAAACTTGCATTTCTTGCTCCCTTGGTTGGCTGCAGCAATGTAGTACAAACCCGATTAAAATTACACATTAAGATCAAAATATGATCTTATAGAACATTTGTAAGCGCATCTTTTAAAGCACTGACTGCGGTAATAAGCAATGACAAAATATTAATATAGTTTACTTTCATACAGCATAGATATGGAACCTGTAAACGTAATATTACTAGCAATGACAACTGGACACATTAGCAAGCCAAAAAACTGGCCATTACAAATATCGGGACTTGAATACCCAAACAAAATTCTGAGGCGTGGCAGCATCTGATTCTGGCAATCAGAAGCTAAAGCGGCTCCTAAATTTTGATTGACTAGGCTGCCCTTGAGCGGCTCCTAAATTTTGGCCTGCTAGTTAGTTAGTTAGTTTAGTGACCCTATGATTACTAGCGCTTCAGCTGCTAAGCTATCTCGCGCCGAATGTCACGTTGGGCATTATGGGCTAAGAACATATTGCATCACATGTGTTTTTGACCTGCTAGGCTGCCCCTAAGCGGCTCCTAAATTTTGACCTGCTAGGTTGCCCTTAAGCGGCTCCTAAATTTTGATCGGCTAGGCTGCCCCTAAGCGGCTCCTAAATTTTGATTGATTAGAGTGCTCCTTAGCGGCTCCTAAATTGTGATTGACTAGGCTGCCCCTAAGCCGCTCCTAAACTTTGATCTGCTAGGCTGCCCCTAAAAAGACTGACCCCTCGTCAGTTTCATGGTCTCGCCGCCCTCATAGGCGGAGATGAGTCCCTGACACGTCGCGTCAGCAGACTGTGCGAGGTACATCATCGTCGCGTCGGGGATGTCAGGATGCGGGGCGCGCTCGTAGATGAAGCAGCGATAGCGGTCGTTGTCGGAGTTCGCGTGGGTGTGGTTAATTTTGCCCACCAAATAATGGTTGACGCCTTCTTTCCATGAGCCCAAGCAAACGAGCTCTCTTTCTGCAGGTAATAGCGGACAAATGATGAAACAACGTTGTTGTACAAGAGCAATCATCTCCAGAGATCATAACCATTCGGCCGTTACTACAGGTGATTAAAAGGAGCAACATAAAGTATTGGAGTTTTGTTCTCAATCTAATGATTTTTCATATAGAAGCTTGATTACATAAAATTACTTTCAACTCAAATTCCAGAAAATCTTTAAATTATTGCAAATCAGTATCCTGCTTTAGGAAGAAGTTCATGGCTAAAAATGTGTCCCCTAAATCTTGACGACGCGGTAAATTCGCGAGCTTTCTACTCAAAGAGCCGATACTATCTGATTTGATGTACATAAAGACATCAATTGTTTTACGAACGATAAAAATAAATACCAAGAATATACATTAATATATTTAGTTTTATTACAATATTTTATTTTTCAGCTTATTTATTACAAAAGATTTTTAAAATGTCATAAAAATGCGAGTTATGACCCACCGAAGCTCTCAGACCCCGGGACATCAGCGCAGGCCTGGAAGCGAAGCAGCAGGCGAGAGTCGTCTGCGCACGAGTCAACCTGATGGCGGGTATAATTTCTTGATTATTTACACTATCAATTATAATTCTTATTATATCATTATTATTAATGTAATATACATTAATATATTATAGAATTTTTAATATAATATAATGATAATTATTATATAACTTGGCCACGGATATAACGACTTGACGATGTAATAACGATTTAATCAATTGACACAAATAATCACTTAATTAATTGTAAAAACGCAGCTGAACGGAAACATCTATAAACGAATAAATTGCAATACTGTAACTCAACGACTGAACTTGTCATTTAATTATTTGTCCACTGACGACAATTCTCGTTATCAGGCTATAGCATTGATGACCGTTGATGACTGACACAATTTATGAATTGCAAAAGGGTTACTTCTAAATTAAATTAAAAAAAATAAATGGAATTTCTAACACCGTAACCTATAAATTTACTAGTATATATTAAGTTATAGGCTTTTTTGGCCTTTTTTGTTCGCGGACTTGGCCGTTTTTTAGGCCATCTGGCAACCCTGAATTATGTACCACTACGTCCTGGAGAAATACAAATCGCGATAAGCATATGTACCACTTCTGAGTTAATGTGTTAACCACTGTTTTAACATTACCAGGGACCTAATGAGTCATGGTATCACCATTACCTGTGACACAATAAGCCGCGGTATCACCATTACCTGGGACACAATAAGCCGCGGTATCATTAAGCCACGGTATCACCATTACCTGGGACACAATAAGCCGCGGTATCACCATTACCTGGGACACAATAAGCCATGGTATCCCCATTACCTGGGACACGGGGTAGGCGCACTCCTGCAGGTTGCGCGAGTAGGTGAAGGTGAGCGGCCCCCTGAAGGGACAGGAGACGGGGGAGGCCGACAGGCGGAACATGGAGAAGAGCATCGCGTCGCCGGTGATGCCGTGACACAGCGACTGCAGGTCTTGGTTTTGTGGATCACAGTACGCTGAGGGAATGGTTTGTCAGGGGTTAGTTTTGTGGGTCACAGTACGCTGAGGGAATGGTTTGTCACGGGTTAGTTTGAGGATCACAGTACGCTGAGGGAATGGTTTGTCGAGGGTTTCTTGTTATTAAGAGTTATGGAAGAACTGAAATAGATCTTTACCTGTGGGCTGATTTATCATATAAAATTGATTGATTATAATAGGATGGTTTCTGGCGAGAAACAAAATGTTATTCATTTCCAAAGGAATACGAGAGCATAAAACCTGGAAACTTAAAGCCTTAATAATCCGATTAAATTAATTCTATAACGTTGATACAGTCTGGCTTTAAAATACGATAGATTACTGCGATCAATACTCACATTCCTTGTATTGGATGACATTTCGATGCTTCATGTTGATCACCATGCACTTGTAGCACGAGTATTTCCTGCAAAATAAGAATTTTATACATGAAAAATGTCAAAATATCACTCACCATGTACGACGTTTTCCATATAACTTATAGCAAATGCATTTTTGTTTTGAAAAATGATCAAAATTCACCGCCAAGTCGCAAAATAATTCATTACGGGCATTTACTCAATAGGATATCATAATATATCACTTTCGTATTTTAAATGGACTGAAAGTCATGAAGTTGGAATGATTTGTGGTATTGGATAGATTTTGAGATCAATTGATCGGGATCCGAGGTACAAGATGAGGAGCAAGCGGTACAATTATAGGATATGACCATGAGACGAAACTTTCATACGTACTAATGCGAGAATAATTGATAAATTTATGGGTTATCTTAATGGAACGTAAGATAATCTTTATTGTACTGTGACGATTTGACAAAGTACTATCCTTCAAAAGAATACATGCCACGCCCAGATATCCTTCAAAAGAATACATGCCACGCCAGATATCCTTCAAAAGAATACATGCCACGCCAGATATCCTTCATAAGAATACATGCCACGCCAGATATCCTTCAAAAGAATACATGCCACGCCCAAGTATCCTTCAGAAGAATACATGCCACGCCCAAGTATCCTTCAGAAGAATACATGCCACGCCCAAGTATACTTCAGTAGCATGCATGCCACGCCCAAATATCCTTCAGAAAAATACATGAATAGCATATGTATGCGTTAAAATATATGATATGCTCAGGTATCCTTAAGAAGAATACACGCCACGCCCAGATATCCTTCAACAACATCAGTCTAGTAACAATGGAAAGCCAAGCGCAGAAAAAAAGACTACGAGAAAGATGAAAGTGAAATAATTTGGTTAGTCATACAAGATTAATTCTCTCCCACGCAAAATTTACGTGAGCATTGTAATGAACCTTTGTTATTGCAAGTGCTCGTGAAGAACAATTCTATTATGCTCGAGAGGGTTTCGAGAAACGCGAGCGGCATTCTTTAAAAAACTAGCTGATCTCTTCAGCAAGCGCTCAAGGATTACTGTGAGCTTAGAACAATGAATATTGGATGGAGATTCTAGAATTTTGCCAGAACTGGATTAGACGTCAGACTTGACGCAAACGGTGACTTGAGAAGCCCGCTGAAACGCAATCGCGGTGAAATGTAGAAACGATGCAAGCCGCGTCGAGATAGCCATAAAAAGTTTTTGAATTCCTAAGAGCTATTTCGAGAAGTTTTCCCTCATAAAAATCATTCATGAGGCACATGGAGGGTTGCGATACACTCAACACTTTCCAGAGTACGGCAGTAAAATGAGCGGGATTCTATAGCAACAAACTTGCTGTGAAATTATTTTCCGAGAACAGCGACTATGAAGCTTTTTCTACTATTTCGCTAATATAACGTGAAATAGTACGATGCTGAAAAAGAAAAGTATTTAATTATCACACAGGATTGTATTTTGAACTATTATAATACAGGATTGTATTGTATTAGTAACACACACGTCACGACCAGAATTTATTTCCGGCATAATAGCACTCATCTCATTGTTATCACAAACATTTTACACCAGCAGGTTAACCCGGCAAAGCTCGAGATACTTCATGTTTGCAACACGTAAATCCCGTTATTCCACTGCACCTATCTTGAATCCATCCATCCTGCTCGTCATCCTGAATCCCATTGTTCCAAGTCATGTAATCTCGAATGCAGTGAACATTCTTGACACAGTAGTAGATAAATTGATGCGGTGCCTGTTAGAACCCATATTCAGAATGAAACTTCCGTTCAAATCAGAGTTCTAAATAAGAACGAAACCGTTTCTCACACAATACAAAAATTAAATTGTCATTTAAAAGAGTAAAACTCATTTATAATTGTTTGAATAAAACTGCCTCAACCTCACGCTTAAGTATGAAATTTCTTCCCAGGTCATTTCACGATACGAAAAATATCGTGGATATACGCGACCGAAATAGGCCCCATAAACTTCATCAAAATTATGTACACAAATTTTTTTTTTCGTACTCGAATCGACTTGATCAGTCTAGAGGTAAGGTGAGTACAGGGGCATTTAATGAAATTGGAATGGTCTCGTGTACATATTTCAGTATAAAGGGCAGCAATGGAACACCTTTATTTTAATCTTTAACAGCCGTTCGTTACACAAAGAGAGATGAAAGAGGCTGTTCAAATAGCGATGCACTTTCTATCTTTTTGTGGGTCATCCTGACCCAGTTTGGCCCGGCAAAAGGCGTAAAAGTGCTACGTTTCCTCTCTGCAAAGGCTAGGGGTATGTGCATCGGTATCTTGTCACCATTACCTATTCATTTATCACCGTGACCAATTCATTTATCTGAATGGGTGACATTCATTCGAGATTTAACGTGCAATAGAACGATGCTAAAATAATGAAGTATTGGAAATGGAAAGAAATAAGATGCTAAGTCATGCCTAGCAATGCTTGCGACTCCAACGATCTAATGTCCGCAGCGACAGGACGCGAGGCGGTGACGAATGATCCAGTAAGAGTGAGTGAATATTTTGTTGTGATCGAATATTTTCCTTGTTTTGACCAGATTTTGCAGTTTTGCAACAGTGCGAATTCTTTCATGACAACAGATGGTTGTATATTTTATTTTCTAGCTCGTAATTCAGGCAAATGTTGTCTGTGAATATTAATTAAAGGAGCGATTGAATTTAATGACCATCTTAAAAGGCAGGTTATCATTGGCCCTATGAACGTCATCATTCGCCCCGTGAACGACATTGTACGTTAAATGTACGCTAGCAAATTTGAAATCACGAGCACGGTACTTCTAGGGCGTCGGTTCTCCCTGATACTAATAATATGGTACCTGTCATATACCCGACATTAGAGGACTACCCAAGATACTTACTCGTCATTGGAGTAAGACTCCTCCTGATAATAAAGTAATAGGATTACCCCGGATACTTACTCGTTATTGGAGTAAGAATCCTTCTGATAATTAAACTAATAGGATTACCCAAGAAACATACTCGTCATTAGAGTAGGACTCTTCCTGTACGAGGTATCTGTTGTTGTGGCCTTTCTCAATGCAGCGGCCGATGTTGGAGAAGTTGTGCCGCGATATGATCACTGGGCCGAGATGGGCTCTGTCTGACTGGAACCATTCGCCTTGCCATTCTGACGGCAGCTCACACCCGTCAAAATCTGGGCAGAAAAATCGTACATTTTATTAAGACGTTAATACGTATATTAAAAACGTCTTTCAAAGAGAAACTGTCGTTGAATTATATGAATATTTGCAACTTATTACATTAAGTGGTTAATACGTGTTTTTTGATGTGGCAATAGCATTCAAGTGTAAAACATATCATTAATAATGGAGCAAACGATTATTTATTATATAACAGCTACACTTACAGGTCACGGTAATATCATGGAGATAAGGACAATTTTCGAAAGTAATTGTTATTAATGGTCCTTACATATAACGCCTTGAACATCGAAACATAAAATTATTTCACACGGAAAAATTTTCGAGCCCGAAAAATTTCAGTACGAAAAATTAGTAACGAAAGGAATGTTCGATAAAGTAAAAAAAAACTTTTCAAATCTTACCAATCCAATACTCAGTACGACATTTCTCCTCAATTTCGGCACAGATCAAGCAAAGCTAAACAAAATTAAATTGAGGGGAAAACCTAGAAACATCTAGTTAGAAAGAGCTCGTTTCTAGGAAGCATTCAGCACATTGAATCGAGTAGAATTTCATTAGGTCTCGACGAAGTGGAGTCGTTCTTTAAATCGTAACGAGGGATGTGAGCCGTGAAAAACCCACGTAATTTGTTCACTGAATACACGTCTTGTGCTCGCGTAAGAGCGGCTTTTGTGCTGCGACTAATTTGAAGACCAACCACGCAGCGGGTTTTAGAAAGTCCTTTAATTCCCCTAGTAGATGAGCAATCATCCTTACTTTCAATTGCATCCGCATTAGAACCTCTCAAAATTCCCTCTTTGAAGCACGCAAACTCGGGAACATACAGCGAGGTTATAAGCAGAATTAGTTGATCATCTCTAAAATTATTATACAAATTAAAACGAATAGTTTTAAGTTTATGGTCAGAGGTAATCCCTGTTATTTGAAATAATACAAACATGTGCAGGAGTAAGTGGGTAATATACACACTGGAAACAGACGGTTAAACTTGACAAAAAAAGTTTTTTTCGTATAGTTACATACGAATAATTAGAATTATTATTATACTGGTAAATAGGCACAAAATAAACGCGTCTATTGCTCTATATGGGAACTGGACACGGAGGGTTAAATTATCTTCTTGTAGCGAATTTCCAAAATTTCACTAAGGCCAGGAAACGGGCGAGGCAATCATAAACGGCTCATGCTTGAGCCCTTAAAGTGAGCCAGCGACCTGACGAATATTCGGGACCGATACTGAAGACGGGCCAGCGTCTCGAGATGAGCCCCTTAAGGCAGGCGCTGTAGCCCCGCATGCGTTCACACAATAACGGAATTTCTCGCACGAAATGAACCAAGCTTCTCAGCTATACACTAGGATAAAGGAAAGATTTCATTTTGCTCTTGTGTGGGTCATCTTGACTCAGTTTTGCTCGGGAAAAGGCGTATCAGTGCTACGTGCAGAAAGTTATTAGCTATTAGGGCAACTCGACCCATTGATTTTTCTGAGTGTACCAACTGTACAGCCGAAATTGTTTCCTTGTAATGAAGCATGAAATAAAAAATTTGGAATAAGACACTATGAATTTTCCCTTTACTACGTACGCCAAGGAATTTTCATTTGCGATTAACTTCAATTATTTTTTTTAATTTACAGTACCAGATTGTTCACAGATGTTACACGACGAAAAGTATTTAGCAGAAAAGTCAAACTCTTTCATTTAGAATTTATTCCTCTGAATTTCGATAGTGTTTCGAATCGGCTTTGGCAATTACTAAGGTTTTGCAAGTTTAATGAGAACGACACATGCCAGTTCATGTCGAACTAGTGTCGTCAATTACAGGTTTGGAGAAAAATCTTTTCAGCGTTCATTTATTTACGGAAAACTCGAAAGTCTTTCACTAATAATTAACTATATAGAAAGTGCTTTGTACAAGCACTAAAAATTCAGTGCTTTTTATATGAAATTTAGAAAGAAAAAATCTACAAAGAATAGATGAAAATGTTGAGTACAAACAAAATTCAAGGTGCGTGCAGAGAATTTTTTGAATGCATAATAAATGAAAAAAAAATCAGAGGATGAACGAATAAAATATTAGGGCGAGGGTATCAAACTGTTACTGGAAATAGGTCGAGGCACTGGATGATATTTGAAGTAGGTTGAGGCGCTGGACGATGCTGAAAGTAGATTGAGGCGCAGGACGATGCTGGAAGTAGGTTGAGGCGCTGAATGATATTCGAAGTAGGTTGAGGCGCTGGATGTCATTAGAATTATGTAGAAGGCGCTGGACGATGCTGGAAGTAGGTTGAGGCACTGGATGATATTAGAATTAGGTAGAAGGCGCTGGACGATGCTGGAAGTAGGTTGAGGCGCTGAATGATATTAAAATTATGTTAAGGCGCTGAATGATATTCGAAGTAGGTTGAGGCGCTGGATGTCATTAGAATTATGTAGAAGGCGCTGGACGATGCTGGAAGTAGGTTGAGGCTCTGGAACCACGAGCGAATAATTCAAGCCGCAATTAGGTGAGACCGTCGCGCAGTGCGGACCAAATACTTTGATCCAGGCGAGGATGAAGAGGATATACCGCAAAGCCTTAAGTCTTCCCGGCACACACTCTGTTTTATAACGCGTACTAAGTGCATTAAGTAAAGCGAACCGTTCACTCCGGCTGTAGCTGTTAGCGCTATAGTCTTGAGCTCAGTAAAGCTTCACAGTTGCTTTAAGGTAGGAGCTTTTGTAGATATTACACTTTCAAAATGAATAGAAACAGTATATAAACTTGCCCAAAATTGTTTGTCCATATTAGAACACACCAATCTAATTTCGAGGATAAATATGGCACACAGCAAAATATGGTGTGGAAATTAGGCAGAATTTATTTCGTCTATTCACAGATTCATCTTTTACACATTATATTATCGGGAAGATTGAACATTAACACCAATGAGCCATCAACTGGCATTGTAATTATGTGAATTTATTCATTTAGTCCTATGAAAAAAATGTAACCGCAATCACAAGTCTACGGAATTGAGTCCACAGATTTAATTATTTTGACAATAAAACTCTACGGGGTTTACTCCACGTATTTAATTATGTTTCACATTCAGATGTAAACATTATATTACTCATTGATGCCCATTAATCCTTCAATAAATTAAAACGCGCTTATTTTCGTTTATGCTCCACGGATTACTCACTAAATTCTAAGTTTATTAACGGAAGAAGAAACGATAACAACAGCTTGGTAGCCTACATGGCTAGAGCTGGCAGTTCAGGAGCCAAACAAGACCAATATAGGAGGCACGGCATCAGGGAAAGCTGAGCACTAAATTAGCAAGGGGTCGTAATGGGACACCTAAGGTGCTAAATTGAGACATCCCGACGACAGTGAGAATGTTACGGCAGCGACAAATAACTCCACATGGGAAATAGCCTGGGATGAACTCGTTGCGGGATGTATCAATATAATCTATATGCATCAACAAAAGAAAAATTAGACTAAACATGCTCTCAAGTTTTGAAATTTTTGAAAGCGGCTTATATCTAGTTGAAAAATTAGATGATGAGATAGTGAAAGTGGAGTAATGACGAAAAGATCAAGCGAACACAAATTTCAACTTGAACTCGTAATAGCCTTGCCATTTATTAAGAACGTGCTAATATATTAACAAAACGAGATAAACACGTATATTGTATAATTAATAACAGTTTCATACTTTATATAATTATATAAGGGGATGATAATTAAGCAGAATTTGTGCACCATGAATATCCTTCAATTCGGGCTTGGAATAAATTAGATAGAAAAATATGAAAAATGAACTCTGAAACGGAGGTTTAAACAGATGTTTGAAGCGGAGGTTAGAAATGATGGTTAAAAATGCATGTTTAAACAGAATTTTGACACACAGGTTCGTGAGGAGGTTCAAAATCGAGCTTTGATACTAAACTTGCGAAGTTTAAAATTGAGTTTTGAAGAGGAAGTTTGAAACTAGAGGATTGCAACGAAGGCCTAAAACAGAGCGAATGTTATGCCTATTTGTCTTGCCTCTGAGCTATGCGGGCTGTTGTGCTCTCGGTGACAGGGTAGCAGGAGGTTTAGGATAACTCTGACACGTAGCATGGAGCAAGTAGGTTTAGGGTAACTCTGACACGTAGCATGGAGCAAGTAGGTGTAGGGTAACTCTGAAACGTAGCATGGAGCAAGTAGGTTTAGGGTAACTCTGCAACGCAGCATGGAGCAAGTAGGTTTAGGGTAACTTGGCACAGCAGAATGGATTAGAGCAACATCTCAGGGTAGCAGTGTGCACATATATTTAGGGTAACTCAGCATCGTAGAACGCAGCTGGCCGATTCAGGGTCGTAGGAATCTACTCGCCCACGGTGAGGCAGGGGGCAAGTATATTCTGGGTATCTTCGCGCCGAGGCACGGAGCAAGTTTTAAGAAACTTGCAAGTGTTGAATCCAGCAAGTATTTCAATAAATTCTTAAATACAGCGAGTGTTCAAGAATTTTTTGAAATATAATATATAATATTGTACTTGTTTACCTTAAGTGCAATATTATATTGTCGTGCTGAAAAAACAATGAATCTAATACACTGAATAAGTCATGAAAACATGGAATGAATGTACTCGTTTATTTCGCGCAATGAATTAACTTTACTTCGATTTAAATTAAATAAAAATGCCAGAATAAAGTTGCTATAATCCTATCGCAAAGCGCTTAACCTGCCTGCTGGGAGTCAAATGTTCTCTACTTCACACACAAAACCAAATAAAAATCTTATAAGAACGCATGAATAATATTTAAACTATTATTTACGTCTGAAAAGATGAATTTGTAAAATTAAGAAACATCACTTATGTTCATGCAAATGTTTTAATTTCATACTTGAGCATTAGCATTTTATGACTTAGAATCACAGACATACGCTGATCGTTAAACATTTTAAGAATAATGCCTTAGTATGACGTATGAACATCACACCTGAACTTTCAAGGAGTTCGAGAGTTCATAATAATACCACAATATGACGTATGAACATCACATCCGAACTTGAGTTCAGGAGTTCATAATAATACCACAATATGACGTATGAACATCACATCCGAACTTGAGTTCAGGAGTTCAGAATAATACCACAATATGACGTGTGAACATCACACCCGAACTTAAGAGGAGTTCGAGAGAGAAGATGAAGAGCAGAAGCGGCTTATCGGCATCAAACATTTCGGGTCGTTAGCACAGCTCAAGGGAAAGCCAGGGGCGTCTAGCACGTTCACTTTAACCTGACCCAAACTTCGTTTTTATTGGTAAAATGAGTCCCAGCCGTAGAAAAATAATGCATAAGTAAACAAAACTAAACAAAAACAGGGATGGCGTCGGAAGAAAGATTAATCAATACATTTACGAGTGATTTAATACGAATGAACGCATTGCGACGCAGTTACGCTGAGGGAGGATTGGTAAGCGTTGGGTGTGAACGCAGGCAGCGGTCCAGGAGCGCTTAGGGCAGCTTTTACGGAGCTCCAGCATTTTATGAGCCAGCAACTAGCAATAGAGATGTGCTGAGTAAAGATTCCGAGGGACAAGGTGAGCGAGATATGAAGCTCTACACACTTCAAGCGAGATTTATAGCGACTGTGAAGATCCATGAAAACTTTTCCGAGTCTCGAATAAGTTATCGTACATCAGTAAGTTGAGTAAATATGAATTTAGTGAGTAACAGTTCGCTGAAGCCGCTGTTGTTGAATTTAAACAATATATATTGCCGCTGAAACGTCTTCATCCTCGTAACTATCAAACTTAAAATATGTTAAGCTCATACTCGTACTTTAGATTACTAGTGCACAGGATTCTTGCAATGTAATTTTCATGGCTCCGAACGAGGGTAATATTCTACAGATAAACAGAAGTTCATTTATCACCGCAGTTCCAATTGATTTAACGGCCTTGCATACAAACAGAAAAATAATCGATACCAAATATCTCGTATTATCATGTCTACAGATACTATGTGTACCGGTACCACCTCAACTGATCTCATGTGTACTTGTATGTGTACTTTAATTATGTATCCTGGTACCATGTGTACTAGTATAAAGTGCCCTGGTTCACACTATCAGCTCCAGAATTCCACCCTGCTCATGACAACTCGTGTTTAGGCAACGCAAAGCTGAGGGAAATTCCCAGAGAACCACAAGTGACACAGACCGGAAATATTCACTTTTATGCAACCTTGAGGCTGGGGTAAATTTTGGAAACGAAGTAAGCGGACGGCAGGCGTTGCGAGGGAGGCGAGAAGAAGGCCTTGGCCTGGTTCAGGAATATAAATCAGCTCGAGTTGGACACAAATGGCTCTATAACTCGGGCATCGCGTCGACCAAAACGGAACACTTGCCGGCAACACAGATACACAAGCACGGAAATAATAAACAATACGAAATATGTTAGAGATACATGACAATGATTAATATTGAGCTGCAAATCAATTTAGATATCGAAAATCAAGAATCAATTTCCAACTTGAAAACCAAATATATAAGGTTTTTAACCTTGAACTCGTATGGACAAAGATTGTTTTTGGGGCTAAAATATACTTTTTAGAGCAGGGCCAAAAAATGGGGTCAAATGTACTTTTCGGGGCCCGGCCAAAAAGTGGGGTCAAAATGTAAAAAAATAGATGAAGTACTAAGTTCATAATTACTGTGAAAATTGATCATCACCGGTATTGATAATTAATAAAGAAATTTGTAAGAAACATTGACTCTAGTTCCTTATTACTTTGAATTCCTGCCGAATCTTCAAGGTTGTTTCACGGCGTGCAGTAGTTCTGCACAAATGGGTGATTCATTGGGATAGTACCAGTTAATTGTGATTTATAATAAGACGTCCTCAAACCTTAAACCTTGCAGCAATAGCGAAGACGCATCACAGTAATGTTTGGTCATAAAAACGTCACCCACCTTGACTGAGGCCAGTTGAAACTAGGAGCTGCAAAATGAAGACAGAGAGACAGGCGTTGAGCCACGTAAACGAGGCGAGGCCGGAAGAGGAGGCTGAAGAGGTCCAGGATCTTCTGTGGGCTGAAGAAGATTTATTCCCTCCATTCTTGAGAGAAAAACTTCGCTGCCAGAAATAATGTGTTGTTTCCAATGCTGAGTTGGTGATCGATTTTTCCATTTTACAGGTCATTTACAAGGCAATTGTGGGCAATGCAATAGCGAATAGGAAGTGAACGGGGCAACAAATTATTTGAATTTCCGAAATGCCCACCGTATAGCTATCGTACATGGCACAGCGTCCAGCTCAACAGCAACAGTTTGAGTAAAATTCAGTAACGTTCCCAACGCTAAACTTGAGACCAGTCATTGCGTGAGCGCTTTTTTCTCCTCACAAAGTACAACACTAGTTTGATTATTGGATACACAACGAGATTAGTGGCATCGTAAGGATGGGAAGAGGGGGCCAGTTGTTCTTCTGGTATGGAGGTACAGGGTGTAGATAACTTTGGTCGGATCTTCTCGTAGCTTATTTAGTTGACGAAAAACTTCGGTTTGGCGACGTCCATCACCTCTTCAGCTGGAGACACAATGCCCCATTCATTTTCTGAAACGAAATGAAAGCGAACGTCAAAGTCAGGAATAAAAGAAGGTAACAAGAAATGCCTGAACGGTACACGGATTTTTGGCTGTTGCATGCCGGAACTAATGAGTCTGAGGGCTGGACACATAAACAAAGGAAAATCAATACGGGCGTTGCAGGAACTCTGCCTGTGGGTGGGTAACTGCAAATTTATAGCGAAGAATAATGTACTCACCCGGAAGTTTCTAATTAAGAGGAAATAATTGGAAATTCAAAAGGTGTAGAGAAATTGGAACGAATAATGTTGAATTCACTTACGAATTATATGAAAGATAGTGAAAATTTGAGCGCTCAGATTTTTAACATAAGTTTAAGAAGTTTTTCAAGATAACAATTTGCAAGTAGGGTAAAGTAAAGAAGTAAAAGTAAAACATTTAACCTCGAATAGATTTCACTCGAAAAACGGCCGAATCTCATTAAAAAAGAACCGTGAAAAATAGTGAACACTACCAATCTCAGGAAAATAAATATGAATAGTATAAAGTTTATGTGTATCACAGCCGAAATTAAAGCACGAAATTATTTTTAAATAGTTAAGCTCATTTCATAGTCGAGTAACTTAAAAATGTCAGTAAGGACAAGTAGAAGCTAACCAGGCAAAGCTCGTAAGCCAATAGGTTGCCTGAAGAATGAATTTTTTTCAAAAGAACTTCTTAGGAAGGATTCTTTCGTAACGAAGCTCTGTCCGAGCTAAGGTGAGTGGACTGGTAGCCGAAGTGAAAAGATTGTGGCCAGAGACAAGAAGTAGGAGCAGGTGAACAGACCGAAAAACAGAATGAGAAGAGGGGACGAATGAACGAGAAAGAATAAGTATCTTGATAAATAAGCGCACCGTACACCAGCAGAGGCAAGTTATATATATACAGCCGCGTGGAATAAGGGTGGAATTAAAAGAGCCTCCGTAGCCGGACGGTCATCTAATCAACATAAGAGGCTTCGCTCATTTTTGCTAGGTTCCAACGGCCCTCCAACTTCATTATTTGTTTTCCACGAAGGAATTTTTCGGAAGCGTGACGGAAACAAAATGTCGTAAACTTGCAGCTTCACAGACACTGCAAGGGAAGATTTTAAGTCAAATTTAGAATGGATTATCAGAGGCCGATCGTCGGCCACTCGGTTAATCGAAAAAAAAAACAGTACAGGTTTTGTATAAAGAAGAATAGCCAACTGGAGCAGCGGCTACACGAACTTGCCTCTGGATTAATTAGCGTAGACAGGAGGCTACAGCACAGGCTATGCTAAGACCGAACTGTCAGGAGATAAGCTTCGGTGCGTCGTAAGGCAGTCGGAGTTCTCCCTAACAATTTGGGAATTCGACCATGAAGCTAGAACGCTATTAACAAATGCTTCACTGTAATGCAGCGATCAAACCCTCAAAATCGAATTCAATTTAAGAATAAACCAAATTAATACCCTACGAGGTTTAGTTTCAATTCAATCTGAAATTTACTTTTATTTAGAACTGAAATAATTAACGACAAAACACTCGAAAGCACAATGGACTTGAAATGATAATCGGCCGTCCAGTATTTTCACACGGCGTACGAAAATTTGACTTGCGCACAAAAAATCCAGCGAACAACAATTAAAATTAATTTCTAATTATTTCATTTTGACATTTTCTCGCTAAGTTTAGGAAAACTCATGTCTATTCCGTCATTAAATAATCCCTTAAATAAAATAACTAAACATTACTGCTGCTCCCACTGCCTGATGACTAGGAAGCTCGGGAAAGCGACGGCATTGCTTAGAATCTCAATTGGATTGGAATTTTTTGCGCATCGAAATGACATTCCGCTCCGAGATTTAATTTGTTCTCGTGTGCGATAACACGATAACGGCACGACATTCCTGGCATTCGAGAATAAATTGAGAGAAGTGATATTTTTTTAGGGGATGCAAGTCAAAAACAAAGATCCGTTTTCCTGTGCGTTAAGAAATAAAACATTCCAAGCTTAAAGGAAAAATTCGTCCCCCAGAAAAATTAACATTTAGTCTCAGGTCACGCGCTACAGGAAACGTTTTCTTACAGTAACAGTAACTAGAAATAACTAGCGCGCAATATTGGGATAAAGAAATACGTAAAAGCATTATAACCATCACAACAACAAGTCCCGACAGCTGTCGAGCGAGTTGCTAACTTCTCAATTTCGTGCTAGCGTTTCTTCAGGTGATTGTTTCAGGCATGAAAAGGTAAATACGATACCTCACTCCTCGTTGAACTTCAAACTATTATTTCAAGATCCATGACCATCCACAGTTTGGAATAGCCCTTGCTAACATCGACGCAGATTGCAGGTCGAGTTACAAATCGAAAGGTTATTCTTAAGCCGGTTTTTAAAAGCGAGTGAGGGGTGTGAAATGTCGAAAAAACAATGAAAAGGGAGAGAGATATGGTTGCCGACATGGGGTGTTTGCCGCGTGCATTAGCTGTGACTGCAGAGGTGGGATCAGTTCGAGAGAGCACTCCGATCTCACTGCGACAACGGTACAGAGTTCTCTTACTTAACAGAGCTGAGGGTCGCTGCTTGCCAGCTGTACTTCGGATAATGGATCTAATGCCACCCATTCCAGCGTCCTCACGTTCCAGCGCTGATGGTAAAGCTGTCCCTTGTTGACCGCTGAGTTCTATGCTAACAAACCCCCACGTTATCCTCTGACCGGTCACAGCTTTCCATAAGGAATCGAGCACTGCGCTGTTAGCCTCTATGACCGGCGTCAGCTTTGCCATGAGGCTCGCTCGTCTATTGTTCATTTTCGGAATAATGTCACTAAATTTAGTAGTCCGCGAAAAGTCCCCTCAATTTATACAGGTTGTTCAAAAATGTTCTAATGTTCCAAAAATGTTCGTGTCTGATAATATAATATTAATAACTCGGCATAAGGCTTAGAACAACATGACATCATGTACTGAAATTTACTGCAACTTTGCATTTACGCTTTTAGGCCGTTCTAAATTTGAGGAAAGCGTTGCCGAACAAGATCCTGTATACACTTCACTAGATCAAAGAATCGTGTTCGTCAACCCGAGTGTTACAGACTAAAGTCAGCTCGCTTTACCAAGAAGCAAAAAATAAACTTCGTGGGATACGCCAGTCCTATTTAACCCTCGTCTACTACTTGACTCCTTAATTTCGTGATTGATCCTACCTGGCAACAACAAAAAGTAACGACGCGTGAAACTATTCGGCTACATGCAATTTACTGAAGGCCTTTGATCGTGTCTAAATAGGTGGCCTGACTCAAACGTGAATAAATGTGACACTGAAATAACCCTGAAACTTAAATTACAATATCTTTGATGCTTATCAATGACGAATCGGGTTAAATCTTTCTTTAATCGTTACTATTCAGTAAAAACGTCGTTCTCAAATGCCATACGGTATTTATGATACTCACAATTCGAAAGCCAAACATTTCTTCGTACACATTTTCCCAGCTGAGGAGTGTTTTCTCAAATAAATTGTATTTATACTGGTATTCTTGGAGGAAGTAATCTTAAAGTTTTGCTCCTCAGAGATGGCGATGTCTGGTTCAGTTTGCCTTGGTGGTTTCTACGAGGGTGCACACACCAGAGCGCCGGAGAAAGCAAAGCTCTCTAAGGAAAGCTGGACTGCTGAACTGGAAATAAGACTAACTCGTACGTAGTTACCTTTTTAAAATAGAAAATTTGAGTAGCAATACTTTGTGTAATAAAACAGAAATATATCGTACATTTTTTCATAAGTGAAAATTACGTTAAAAAACTATAAGGAAAGCTGGACTGCTGCACTGGAAATAAGACTAACTCGTACGTTGTTATCTTTTTAAAATAGAAAATTTGAGTAGCAATTAATACTTTGTGCACTAAAACATATATACAGCATAGGTGCATTTTTTTATAAGAGCAAGTTACGTTGAAAGAGCTTTACAAAAATAAAGAAAGTTAACTGAGATGCGAGTTCTTTCAGAAGCGTTGTAATTTTTACTTGAAACTATGGTAATTCAATTCCGGTTAACTGTGCAGAAAAGTAACGGGACTACCCAAAAAAGACATCATGTCTTATATGCATTCTATCAAACAAATGTGACCCTCATCAAAATGTCATGGCGGGATTTATCCATAAGTTTCAAAGGTAAATTAACACGAAATCTGTTACTGTTGACATATAAACAAACAATTAATAGAATTGCATCAAATCAACAGAGAGCAGATTGCGTTATTTGAGGCTCGTTGATCAGCGATCGAGTTTTTTCACTCAGGCTTTAATGTTTAATTTGAGCTCGAAATATTTACTTTAGGCCTTCATTTTCTAGTCATGGCCTTAGCTACCTACGTAATTTAAACCTGTTCTTACTTAATTCAGGACTCGTTAGCATTATATATTCAAATCTTAGCCCAAGCTACGACATTTAGACAAATTACCGTATCATGAATAATCTAAAACGCTTCAATACGACCAATAATGACAGGACTCTGATTGCACAATGTAATCTCAAATCTCAATATTCACAACATTATATATAATTCGACCTGTCAGTAAAACACCGCTCTTCATTACACTGCTAACATTAAACACAATATTTGGGCAAGGCATTAGGATGCGCCAATCAAGAAAGCAATTGAAAATATCAACCGAACGGGAGCACAATTAGGAAAATGACCTAATAGTCAGCCAATCAAATAACGTCGGCCGACCAAATTATGACTTCGGCGGCGGCTCAATTTGTCGGCCAGCAAGGAAATAAAACTCAGCTCAGAATTTAACAACTCAACCAGACTCTGTTGTGGCGATAATCGAACCGACAATTGCATTGTGTGGCGGAGACTGGGGAGGGGGAGTGCGCAGGGCCTGGATGCTAGAGAGGAGTGCGAGAAAATGCAGATGTAGGGAGAGTGTTTACAAGAAAACGGAGCAGGAGGAATGCAAAAGAGCAGGGTATGGAGAAATAACAAAGAGTAGGAAATGGGGATATGAGAG